TGAAGAACGGTTTTCAAGTTTTGCTAGAAAACTTTTGAATGAGAGTTTTCAAGTTTCGCCGAAAAACTTGTGAGGGAGGGGTTTTCAAGTTTCACCCTAAAACTTGTAAGAAAGGGATTTTCAAGTTTTACCCACAAAACTTGAAGGGAGGATTTTAAGGATATATGTAATACATTTTGAGATATATAATGAACATCCTTCTGGATATAGGCATCAGGAGCTAAACCACATTAAATAAATTTGTGTGATCTTTTTCTATTTCTTTTATGGTGTTATTTTAATATGTTTCTGGATAATGACTTAAGAATGTACAAAAAGGTATTAATTTCTTTATTTTTTATTATCTATTGTTTGCTTAGAATTCCAATCCACTCCTATTAAAACAAATAATGTAAACAAACAAATGCACACACACATGATCAATTAACGTACACCCACGAACGGTCACGTTCAAATCCATGGTCTGGGGTCCCTATCAAAGAAAGTGCTTTGCATAGGATGGTTCTAAATGTGCTCATTATTTTCTAAAGGCCCTTGAGGTTCCCTCATTATAGGGACCCAGTATCTTTGTCACTGTCACCTGGCAAACTCTAGGGTCTAACACGGTATTTTAGGTTAGAGTAGTCGGTTATTACCTTAAGTGTCATTTTCAACAAGGCTCGTAGGCTCCAAGGCCATTCTTGGGCCAGTCGTACGTCAACCACTTCCTATGTTTACACGCTCATGCCCCCGAGTATAAAAGGAACTATTGTGTGCAAAGGTTTATGTACAATTGTTTATTTCAAATAGGTGCAAAATTTAAACAAATATACAGAGATATCAAAGCCAAATAAAATACATACAAAGAAAATAAAGTAAAGGGAACAAATATTTGATTTATCATTCTTATTTTTCTAATTTCATCATTTATTTGAGACTGACCCTCTTTAAACTTCTTTAGTAGAGTCACCATCTGTCGAAACCCAAAAAATTTTGATCTTGCCTACAAAAGGTTTGGACTTCCATTTGAAAATCTCATCGATTGGGGAATGCCCAAAAACCAGATTAATCCTTAATCAATGGTTTTAGGAAAGGGTTTGAAGAAGTCATCACTGATGTTTTACTCAAAACATCGAAAAAAGGAAAAAAATTTATAAAAAAATGACCCAAAACGGCCTTCATAGCCAGCCTTAGGTTCGAGGGTTGATTACGCGTATGGAAGGTATTAAGCACCTTACAACGCCCTATTTCAGTACCCTATGAAAAAATTAGCCCGATAGAGAATAAAAGTTCAAATGTTTAATCCTGGTTATTAACACTCTTTAGGAAGAAGATAATAAGAGAATTGGATCTAAATCAAAGAGTTTGAAGACTTTTGGGAGAGAGAAATCTGAAGTAATAACTCAAAAAAATTTCTATTATGCATCCAAAAGTGTCTACAAAGTGAAGGAAAGACCTTATATAGAGAATAGGTAGCTTATGGTGTAAGTTAGTCTAACTATGGTTCAAATAGAACCATAGTTAGCCTTCTTACACTTAAGCTAATTATCCCTAGCTTCTTAGAAGCTTGTGGAGCAAGCCAAGCTAACCTTAGTTTAAAAATGAGTTAGGTTAGCTTAACTCCAATTAGCTAACCTAATGATTGCTTCTAGTAGTTTAGTTGAGATGTCACTTTCAAGGCCATGTAAAAGCTTTTCCTAGAAGCTTTAGACGTTGGATGGCTTCCTCACCAAGCTTGGACGTCCAAACCAGTTTCCTAGGCAAGTGGACATCCAATCTTGGTGTATTTTAGAAATCCATTTGGGCTATCCAAGCCCAAATAATCCCATGATCTTTCTAGTTACACCTACCCTAAACCGCTAATTACACCAAAATACAAGGAACATAAAACCTACACTACTTGACCCAAAATACAAGGTCAAATAAAGTAAAAGACTCCAAGTAGCATACCCTAAAATCCTAAGGGTATGACATACAAAGAAAAATAAAGATGCCTTATAATACAAAGGCAAAAATAAGCCTATATAAGTATCTACTATATACAAGGTACAAGAACTCAAACTATACAAGATATGTACAATAGAGACTATGAGACTAAAAAGTGGAATCATACTCAATGCTCATATAGAACATAGGTCTAAGAAGCACCTCCTATGTAGAAGCCTCCTCTAGCCTCCTAACCATGGTCATTGTTAAAGGTCCAAGACCTTCAAGTGTGAGCTTCCTATAGATCAACCTTCATCATTCTTGATCTTATCTCTTCCAAAAGGATCCTTGGGGAGTAGGTTTCCATCACTCTAGTAAGCAATTTTTTCACCCTGAGTACTGTACACAAGTCTCATATGTATAAACATCATACTTAATCGGAACGACCATTCTGATCAACAGAACAGGCCATTTCGGATTAGTTTATTATAAGTAATTTTTGAATCTGAAATAGTCCGTTCCGAGATGGGAACGACCCATTCCAGATTTGAAATTAAATAATAACAACTTGGGTCAAAACGACTCATTCCGAATTAGGAACACCCCTTTTTGACCTAGGGTTTTTAGGCCATTTTAAAAGTTTGAAACGGCCCGTTCCAAATTGAGAATGGCCCATTTTGGGTTCCTAATTCATCCTTTTTGGGTCTTTGGGTCTTCTGATGTCATCCCAATCCATACTGATGTCAATGAGCCATTCTAATGTTATGTTGGTTTGTTCTGATGTTATATTAAGACCTTCAGGAATTCCTTTGTCTCATACTAAAGGCTCATTTCCTTGTTTGCATGTCCCAGACGAAATTAGGTGTTTACAAACACCCATTTGTAAGTGTTAGTACTTTCATTTGAAATGAAAGCACAACCAAATATCACAATTTGACCGTCATGAATTTTTCCAGAAAATATTACTAATGGCTTGTTGTATTTGTTCTTCTTGTAAGTGTTATTGAATGCAAACACATCACCAAAACATTGATAATCACGCCTACTAGTAGCATCAACCCAAAACAAGTTCTTCATTTTACCATCTTCTCTTATGATGTATTTAGCATAAAACATTGGATCATTGTTTGCCTTTCCTTGTAGATATAACATAAGGCAGCCAATACACCCTATCTTGGGTTTTTGAATGCCTATGTCGCTCTATATGATTACAAAGATCTTTCTTATTGAACCTAATGCCTAAATGACCACCATTTTGATCCATTGTGAATCTCATTATATGGCAAGCTCTTGAACCATGATCATGCAAAACATTAACTTAGGCTTTCTCATCACTAATTGATAATGCATGATACATCCTAATAAATGGTACATAGTTGATTGATACATAACATGGTTGTGACCCTCCTTTATTGCATAAAAATTGTTGCATTACAATCTTGCCACATGCATCATGACCCGTATCATCCTTCCTAATCCCAAAACCATGAAATTTAGCAAATGCAAAATAAAATTTATATGCTGCTGCTCAATAGTGAATTTCAAACCCATTATATCATCTACACTCAAATTAATCAAGCTTTTGTGTTCAAAACTATTACCTTCAATATGCACATCCTCTTCCTCCTCAACTTCCTTATTATCAACATTAACACCACTTCCATTTCCATCTCCAATAGAAGTATCATTCTTACTAAAATTTATATTGTTGTCATTGTCTAGATAACCAAAGGATTTCTTGTTCAAGTTTTCCATCTACATCAATGTACACACAAATTGTATATAATTTCATCTACATCTACATTCACCAGCAACCACCCATATAATTTCATCACCATAAAGAATAAAGTACAAATATTATTTGCAAAAATAATAAACACAAGAACAAAAAAAAAATATTTACCTTGTAATAAAAAATAATGGAATATGGATGTTGATTTTCAAAAGTACTACAACCATAACGACATTCATATACACGAACCACAATTACGATTTGTAAGGCCAATGAGGTGATCGTAGCAGTCAACGAGACGATAGTAACTTTGAAAGGTAACCAAACAAATATTCTATTTGAAGCACAATCCAGATTTCAGGTCTGGGTTACCAAACTTTGGAAACACAACGGGTGTAGTTTAAATAAGGTAATGAAATTGGGATACCGTGACAAACTGATACAGCTGATATCGTACACAATGAACAAAAAGAATATTTCAATTTTGGATTCAAACATTGGGATAGATGGGTTGGATCCTAAACGGGTTAATGAATTCCATATCAATTTCAAAGACATCGATGAGGTGGACATAATAAAACGTGTCACAATCCTATTCAATATTACAACCGAAACCCTCTTTCGGAAAAAAGCATGAAGGAAAATCCTAAATTTAATTGGACATTTTTTCTCAGACATGGTAAACCACCCTGCAACTTAGTTTATTTTATCATCTCTACCCTCAAAGCTAGTAACCTGGATAGATAATGTACCTGCTTAAGGATACACTCGTAGTCTTCTTGGTAAGAAGGGCCGAACGGATACTTCAAACGGATTCTTCAGAGGGGGGAGGTACCTGCAAAAGGCACTCCAACGCTCAAGTCAGGATAAGCACGATATTCTAGGATAATTAATGAACAGTGACATACCTTGTTATGTGTGACCTATTTATAGCATCTGACATGGGCCTGAGCGTGATGGGCCCTCTCAGATATTTACCAAATTAGGTAATACGGTACTAATTGGTTGTTAGGCTTTAATCATGTACTTACCTTTCTTAATTGTGATTACCGTTATGACTTGTTTAACCCTTCGGCAAGAGGCCGAGCCGACTATTCAATACTAGTCGGAACGGCAAATGACCGAGCCGTCTAGTCCGTATACGGCAGCTTGTATACTTCCGGTACGATCTATGTCGGAACGGTACTTGACCGAGCCGACTCGATGAGTGATGATGGTCCATATTGGCATTAACCAGACTGATGTCGGTTCTCGACCTCATGCCGAGCCGACGTTGATGGTGATGCTTGTACGTGGCTTACTATGCATGAGTGTCTGACGAAATGGCACGTGTTGGCCCACGTGACCGATACGGTCTCTCCGGTACAATTAACAATCAGCATATATATATATATTAGAAAGAACATTCTTGCATAAATTTACAATTCCATCATGAAAACTAAAATCAGAGCGAAAACCCAAAACTGGTCTCAATTTCTTCTCATCATTCAAATGTACCATTAACTAGCATCGTATTTTTGTGGTTACAGCACAGCCAAAGCCAATGAACGACTAAAGCCACCTCCATTCAGCACCCTACCTCTACGACCACCTCTCGTCTTCTTCATCTTCATGCCACCCCCATCCCCAAGTTCCATTTTATTCCCAAAATCAATTGCACCGAGTGCTGCCACATTAGAATGTTCCCTACTAGCCCCACCATTAACAAGAACTCTCGTGATCCCCACATAGTGCAACGACTCAGCTATTTGCAACGCACTCACACCCTTCCTAGTCCTAGCCTCAACACGAGCACCTTTCTTGACCAAAAACTCCGTCACATCAACGTGCCCCGACTCAGCAGCACAATGCAACGCCGTGTACCCTTCCTCGTCCTTCGCGTCCACGTCCACCCCTCTCTCCACAAGAGCCCTAACCGCTTCCACTCTCCCTTTGAACGAAGCTCTGTGCAACGCCGTCCAACCGTTTTGGTCCCTCCCGTTCATTCCCGCGCCTTTATCTAGAAGCTTCTGGATGCTCCTCACTTCGCCTTTCCTTGCTGCCACGCACAGTTTGTCCCCCAAACGTAGGACATCGAAGAGCCGCGCGTGCCCGTTTTCCACTGCAACCTCGTACGCGGTTTTCCCGTGCCCGTTTCTCACGTACTTGCTGGCACCACCCTTTTGCAGCAAGAGGTTCACCATGCTCTCGTCCCCTATTGCTGAAGCCACGTGCAAAGGGGTGTCACCTGTTACAAAGACTAATACAAAGTTATTGGGATCCAAAGATTATAGTTATGGACAAAACTTACAAAAGTATTTATTTTCCATAATATAGTAAATCTATATTTATCAGACTGGATTATATAGAAGTATATAACATTAAAGTAAAATTCTAATTTTTATTAGAGACCGGCACCAACTACCATAAGAAAATGTAGCTAAGTTTTGTTGTATTTTCTGATAACATTACCTTCTCTTGCATTTTTAACATCTGTTCTGGCATGGTTGGCCAGAAGGAGTCTAACACAGTCTCTCCTTTGCTCTTCAACCGCAAGGTGCAAAGCTGTGCTGCCATCTTTGGTGAGCGAATCCACGCTGGCACCTTTGAGCAAGAGGAGTCTGAGAACCTCCACGTGTCCTCCTCTGGCAGCATGATGAATCGGGCCAAACACGGACGACTCGGACCGTTCCGTCTGGGCTCGGTGGGCCAAAAGAAGCTCAACAATGAGGCCCTCGTTGCAGGAAGCAGCAGCCTCGAGCGGCGTGGAGCCACAGCGGTCGGGAGCATCAACACGAGGCCCGAATTCCAAGAGCAACTGAACGAGGTCAGCTCTCCCTTGCGAAACGGCAAGGTGGAGCAGCGTTTGGCCCTGTGGGTCGGCGGAGTCAACGAGCCTCCACGAGGGGTCACTGTTCTCGAGCACGTGTCTTATATCGTCCATTGCGGCGTGCGCCACGAGGTGGGCAGCGATGTGGGAGCCAACGAAGATGAGTTTGAGGGCGGAGTCGGTGAAGAGTTGCTTCTTGCGGAACCAGTCGGCGGGGAGGGCGTCGAGCATGGAGGAGGGGTGGGTGATGGCGGCGCCGGGGGCGAGGGCGCTGTGGAGGAGGAAGGAGTCGGGGGAGAGGGGGAGAGTGGAGGGTGGGAGGTGGTGGCAGGTGATGTGAATGGTGAGTGTGGCAAGTGGGGATATGATCCCTGTTTGGGGCTTCACCGTGTAACGTGTTTTGTTGAGGGGTTGGAGCCTGAAGGCCACTGGCATTGTGTGCATCACGTTGCGTAACGTGATTTTTCCCTCGCACTTTTGCCCTTCCTCCACCCTCATTACCACTCTGCTTGATGGCTCTAGCCTTATCAGTCTGTCCATGCTGTTGGTGAATTAATTAATTCCAAGGAAAAGGAGTGAAGGAGAAGGAGGACAGGAACTGAATGGAAGTGAAGCTTTTATAGCTTCGTTTTATTTATGCTGCATTTAGCGTGAGGAATCACTTTGCTTTTCTACAAATTTCAACTCGGGATTTAAGTGTGTTTGACTTATTAATTAATACTTTCTATATTCTCTATATGAAGAAAAAAAAACTCCCACCTATTATTTGAATTCAATTTTATCAATTTCATAGTATTTTTCTTAAATTATTTTTTATTATGAATGTCAATCAAAGTAATATAATTGAAAGGTCGTGCAGAAGAGTATATTTTAGATAATATCATTGTTTGTTACTTGTAATAGAGAATGGAGAGAGTAAATAATATTTTTTTTAAAATACTATTTCAAGTATATTCTACTATATAAAGTTGTTAATATTTGGAATAAGTTTTCCTCGTAAAATGTTCATCAAATATAAAATAATTACAAAAAAAAATTTTGGTTCAAAAATCATCAGGATTAAAAACTTAGGCTTAATTGCAGTTTTGATCCCTCAAGTATTGTAATTGTGCAATTTTGATCCCTAAAGTTTTAATTGGATAATTTTAGTCCCTAAAGAATTGTAATTGTGCAATTTTAGTCCTTTAATTTTTAATTGAACAATTTTAGTCCCTCAAATATCATAATTGTGCGATTTTAGTCTCTCTCATTAAAAATTTTATAATTTTAA